ACTGGACTACTCTGGCTCGCGACAGGGACGAATGGAGACGTTACTGGAAATCGACGATCAACGGGAGTACAGGTGATACAGGTGATACTATTACTCAGAAATTTATTGCAAAGGGTAATAAACAAAAAGGAGAATATTGCATCCTTTCTGGTACAAGTATGCCTCACATCTGATGACATTCCGTTTCATAGAAAGCCCGATGTGTGCTTCATTACTGGCTGAGAGCACTTTTTGTCTCAAAACAACAAAAAACGTAAGATGTCGCGATGTAATTAGAAGCAATTAAGGGTGTTTTTCGCTCTCGTAGCATCACATGCATAATTACGGTGAGACAACCGATGATATCCTCCTTCACGTACTTTCGTCAAGACTAGACAAACTCTTGAACACTTAGCGTCGTTCCTCCCTCACATGACCTCAGCATGAGATGAGCCTTGAACTCACAAAACCCTTCTTCGGGATCCCAAATGTAATCCCGGACCTTCTCGATTCTTTTAAGAAGGACAGTCATCCATGTAAGATGCCGCCTATGGGAATCCTTCTGTGTAAACGTTAGTCACATATGAAGAACGCCATGGAAATTTCTTCGTGTTAAGTTCATTTGTTAGATTCTGTGGTGTTGAAATGGAGATACCGTAGTGGTAGAAAGCTGTTGTCCCAATAACTCTGATAACACCGATTACCAATTTCATTTTGAATTTATTCACTTTCTGTTTTGGCTTCATTTTTTCAATTGTGTCTAGTAAAGTCGTTTGATTCAACAGCTCTTTATCAAGGAACTTTGTCCCTTTACGCTAAGGAACATATGTAGTTAAAAGTCTGCAGGTTTTCGAGGCACACCAATAACACACAGTGAAACTAGTTCGATGACAACAAAGACGTTTTTGAATATATCTATGAAATCTTGATCTAGGCCCCGCCCATGCCTAGCTTATCATGTGCATCCTGAATACTTCTCCTTCGTCTCCTTTCTAATCGCTCTTTTCCGGCATCCAGAAGTGATTAAAACGAGGCTTCAGATCGTTGTGAAGTTTGGCGCCTATTTGAGAGCAGTATGATCGTTCAGTCCGGAAACACCTGGCACATTCTGCATTTCGGTCTTTGATTCAATTTTCCTAGCTTCCTAAAAGAGACATTTGAATATCAAGCACCACAAGCCGGTAGCACTCTTTCAAATCTGACCAGACTCAAACCCTGCTGCTCATTAGCTGGCTACGAAGCTTAAGTGCGCTTGAACGATTGCGTGGATCTTCCTGGCATTGATGCACTTCAATTTCATGCCGCACGATTCCTCACGAGAACATATAAAACCCATCTTACCTGTGGACGATAAGCTTCATCATCGAACTACTCTCGGTTAGGAAATTATGTTTAGTAGTCATCAAAATGAGACGTTCAGAACTTAGAGATTACTAATTCTTCAGCACTTAAAGATTACTTCAACATAAACCTCACAACTGAATTTTACGGCTATATTTCATAATGGGAACTGTTGAAGACTACTTTAAAGTGCAAACTTATTTTCATACATTACTTCACCTTTCAAGTACGAAAACGATCCACACACTTGTAGGTTGAGGAAGGGACTTCAATCCCTTACACTACCGAGATCCCGCATGTCCTCGCCTTCTTAATGACTTACAGTAGCGCTCAAAAGTCTTCGGTGAAATGCTTTGACGCTTTTTCGTTCATAACTTTTTCCTTAGTAGACCAAATGACGCGAAATTTGGATATGTTCAACTAGAGCATATTTCACCCTACCCAACACCATTTAACTGCGAAGCTGCAATATCCATTGGTAGAGCAAGGTGTTTGTTACGGTAGCAGATTTTCCTAAAACTAAACTTGTTGACGTCTGCACTTATTCGCGCCTTATGCACGTTTTTCTCATCTATTGTGTTCGGCATTACCGCTCGTACACTTTAGTCATGACAAAAAGGAAAGAGATTTTAGAAGGACCATCATCTGTATTTTCAGTCGATTTTGAATTCATGCTCTTTGGAATATCTGGATCATGATCAGATTGCAGGTTAATAGTGGTAAATATTCGCAACACATCAACGCTACAAATATAGAAATTGCGCATGATTAGATCCAATGGAAAGGAGTTTCACTGAAAAGTACGGCTGAAGAACCATTTCACCCAAGACTTTTGGCCACTACTGAATATGCCATAGCTCATCAACCCTCACACGTACAACTTGGTGAGCCCTTCGGCTAATAACGTCATTAAACCGTTAAACTGTAAGAAAAGCTAATCCTATTGGCTGAATGGCTCGTCACGTAGTCCGAATAAGTGCCGATAAATACGACATAAAAGGCGTTAAAAAAGGCGAGGGAGAAGGGATTTCTTAAAATCCCAATACAAATCGCAAATAACGTAGAGATCCATTGACGCAAGCAGGAGATGCTTGTGGCGGCTTCTCTTCAAGTCGAGTGGGCCTCGGTTTCATCAAAGCAGCGACAAAAAGAGGTAGTTCTGCTTAACTAGCTGAGTGGCAGATGATGTGAAGTACCACTCCTTCTATTAGAGGATAAAGTATCGGGGCGTTAATCAATCCCGTCAGAGGAATGCACCCACGTATTCGTCTCCCATTCAGAATCGCAGTGGCGTGTTGCATGCGTACGTGGCCTATACAATGACTTGCGATGGACAGCCGATGTACAACTCAGCGCTTTTATCCTCCTGAAAGAGTCTCCTTTACCGACCCCGGAGGGATGGAAGGCTTGGTTGGCCTAGGCGGATACCGGTCCAGGATTTCAACCCGTGACCATGCGTATGGGATGTGCGCCACTTGCCTCCATACCGACTTCTTCTGTTGGTTGACCATACTTTCCGGCTATAGTTCACTCTGCTTCGTGGCTCTGAAGTTGTCTTTTCAGATTTCCCCATCTGCGCTCCCTTTACCTTCTAGGAATTCTACATTTTCTAATTTTGTTTTTGTAATTAAAATATTTTCCCTCATTGAATGCTTGACCTTGCATGAGAAAATAACTCATATGTTCTGGCTGAATAGTCCGGTTGTAAATGACTTTGCAAACGGTATAATTTAGCAGATTTTCTTCAAAGGGAAGCAGTCAGAGTGGTTCTCATTGGTTAGAAAACATTTGAAATTCTTTGGAACTTGAAAAGTCCCTCTAGGCGAGTTCAGACATGACCTTTGTATAAAATCGTCTATGAGGAGAGATCAAAATCGTCTTTCTTAATCTTGAGAACCACCGTTAATTTCCCTTTTGCGCTTGATGTAAGTGTTCGGTGAAGGACATATTCATTTGCGTGTTCTCGAGTAAATGTTTAGAGTTACTGGAACTATCAAAGCATCGAACATAAGTCTCTATGAGGGCCAGGGTATTTCGTTATTGTTTTCTCTCGGAGTTATCCGTTTTCTATGAATACATCCTTTTTTCTTGTATCGTATCTCTCCTCTGCAAAATAACAAAATTTTATTGAATTTTTGCAAAACCGCTGAAAAACTGGTCTTGTCTTTCGTTAGCCCAGCATTCTGATCAGTAACCTCCTTCAAAAGCATCGAATAGCGGAGATCGTTGAAACGTTGATCCGCAAAACGACTCTAGAATCATCGGCCTTCTTTCATATATGATGAGGCCACTTCAGAAGCCTCGGCAGTCTTACCCTATCGCTACCCGAAAAGTCTGCCTTTGCTTGCACGAGTCCTTCGAACTGTCGGCGAAGGGCATTCATGTCCCAACTCGCCGGTTTTCATTAGATCTACTCTTATTTCCGCCTCTTTCTTAGGATTTATTGAATGGCATGGGACTCATTCTGGAAGGAAACGGTAAACTCAGTTGTACTTCAGTTGAATGCCAACTGGACGTTTACGTGCATCTGAATTTCTAGGAGCAGAATGTGGCGCTTTCGGTGGGAACCCATGCCCGTTGGTCGCCTTATTTCATTCGAAACAACACAGAATTCATTACGTTCTGAGAAGTGCTGAAAGACAAGGACGGCATGATAAATCAAATGAAACCTGATCAATTATCTGTAGTAAGTACAGAGTCGTAGCCTAAAAAACAAGGTACTAAGTCGCTTGACCAGGAATCTTGCGCGGTGAAGTGCGATGAGATGCGTGCCTCCAAATCTGTGTTGTACTCGCCTCGAATATCAATTACTTTGTTATCATTTTGTTCAAGTGAAACTGTTCTCTTCTGACTACTTTTGTCTTCACAATATTCCCCACACTTATAGAACCTAACACTGTTTTTTCTGTCTCATTTTTTCTTCTCACCCCCTCTTGTGTCTGTGAAACATCCATTTTCTAACCAGCCGATTCCTGCTATATTACATCTGAACTAATGTCATTTTGTTAATGTCGATTTTCAGATCCGGAATCCGTCTCCCATCGTGAACTGCAACATGCTACTCATAAGATAGGAAGTAGAGATATGAGATATATTATGGGCTATGTCAGGCTCCTTCCCTGTATATGACTCATATGTAAGCTTGAGCAATCTGCTGCGTCGCACGACCTGATCTTACCATTTCAGTCAAAATGCACGGAGGAATGTGTCTCAATGGTATCTTACTGTGTCGGCACATCACCGTTAATCGTGTGCCAGCTCAATATTGTGGTATTCCTGGCATGCATCTTCCTCGCAGTTTGCACAGGTTTTCTTCGTCTTCCTACAGCTAGATTTTAATACTTTTGACATCTTCTCAAAAGAAAGAAATTCAACTATTAAGGCGTCGCGATACCCATGGTATGCCTGCTATGTTACGTGGCCAGTTGGTGCACCGAAGCAAAACAAACACGGCGACGTCGCCGCGGTTCCGACGAAGAAACAGTGAAACTGAATCCTCGAAGTGTTCAAGGTATGTGAACAGTAGCTGAGGAAGATATGGAGCAGAACGGTTAATCTTAATGATCCCTTTCCTGGATAGCAAGTGATTCTATCGACAACTAGTAATCGACTCCTCTTCATTGACTTTTAGCGTTCGCGTGAGAGTTAAAGGCACAGTTCGCGATAAAAATGGTTCCTGAGATTTTCCCATAGGATACATTCGATGCTCCATCGTATGCCTTCTCTGGCTCTATTAGGTCGGAAGACGGCCCAGCTAGGACATTATAAAGGCTCAGAGATTGTACCGTGTGTATCCTCGGACGAGTTTTACCGGCAATATAGGGGCTGCACCGATCACTAAGGAACCATGTAGGAAGTTCAAATGACTTGTCATGACCCATAGCGACATTAAAAGGCTGTCATGAACAGTTCTGGCCTGATGTAGTCAGCTCCTTGCGCAATTGCAACTACTGAAATCTCGTCCGAACACCCCTTAAGTGTTATTTCTGTCATAGTAAACTCGTCCAACCTATAGTTTCTTTTTTTAAGGAGAGTTATTTTCCTCGAAATCGGCGAATTCTCTCGCTTTCTCCACCGCCAATGAACTATTCCCAACCTATACTTCCGCTTTCCGAATAAAAACGGGTACCCCAAAACTATCGTGAACTGTGCTTTTAAGAAAAAAGTCCACGCTATTAGAGAACTCAGAGATTTTGTTCGAAATAACCAGCCTTCTGTCACTGAGACAGTTTTCTCAGTCTATGATTATTGGAGCTTTCAATAAGCTATTGACACTGGTCTTCGGAACTCAGATTCAGAATTCATTTTATTCGAGTGGCTCTTCTTTGCCCTCAGCTCCTCTGCATACCATTTCGGCACCTCCTCTTACGGAACGAACTCCATCTTCTAAACTTTCGAATAAATGAGATCGGCGTCGGATGAGAAAATGTGTTTATAGGGACCACGTCCTGACAATTCTCCTTCTGTCATTCATAATACAGTAAGCAATAATTGGCCTTATAACGTGAGCAGCTTGCCTTTTTGGGCATTCCGCAAAAAAACCATTCCAATAGGGTCACATCCGTCTTTGCTATTAACATTAGGTGCTTCACATTCAGCTACACTTGAGGAACGATCTTCTCATTTTCTCAAAACCACAGAATTTTCATAGGTTCGGGAAGATAGAAGATGTTAAAAGTTCTACTTTTTCAGTGTCGCTATCGGATTCCGGTGCGCCCATTGTTTCAACTCAGCCTACAACTCCTAACTCACGTGTATGTTTTTCAATATTCCAGTGCAGTGGTTAATGACTAGTCCGCAAAGATATAGAAGTATGACGGGCTTCCCACTTCATTCCTAAAAGGTTGTTTCAATAGCTAAGATTGACCAAATATTAACTTATGTTCATACATTTGGATCTAGCCCGATGAGAAGTAAAGTCTGATTGTGAGAGAAAACACTAGATCGACTCGAACATCTCTGGATGCAAATTTGCCTCTAAGCAACAGGAAGTACAGAATGAGGCAGAAAAATAGGTGCGGTCGCCACAATTAAGGATACCAAGTTCAAGTAGCCCGTAGGGGGGACGGAACATTCACCCAGAACTTTATGGACGCGGCAAAGCGCGCGGCCAAATTCGTGGTGATTAAATCGACTTCGGCGCCTATTATTGGGGCTCGGGTTTCAAGCAGATTGGATAAGTAGGGCCAGCTGATGCTACTGCTCTTCCTCACTTCAAATATGTGCCCCGATGATAGGGGCCAGAGTCGTTTTAATCACCACGAATTTCGCCGCACGGTTTGCCGCGTCTATCAAGTTCTGGGTGAATATACACATACCCAGTCCGTAGGCCGTTTCAACACGGTGTGCATCGTATGGCTTCTTATATACTTGGCCTTGGGGCATGTTTGCTCGAAGACGAGAGTAACGGCATTCGATTATCCATCCTACCAGCAACTTTTCTGGTGATGGGGAAGCTCCACTCACCATGCCATTTTGTTTACTTGTTTCTTGAGAAAAAGCACAGGCAGAGTCCTTCTTCCTCTCGAAGGACATTTTGAACAAAACCGAAAATTACTGAGCAGCGGTAAGAGCGAAAGTAGAAAAATGTCTGGTTCAGTTTCCTACTGTTGCTAATTTACAATCCAGAACGACCATTACAACAAAGCAAATTCTGCGACCCTTCGCCAGCTGTACAAACCGATTTCATGTTCCCTCTTCTTGAAACCTGATAATTTTGCATAACGTTTCACACTGCTTTGCCGTACAGGTTTGTTATGGTAGAAACCACTTTGCTTAGCCGACGTTTCGAACAAATCGTCGTCTTCAAGGACCTGAAGGCAGTTTATAGCTTCCGATCTGTAGCTTACCCGACCATGCACCCAAACATATCAGAAGATCAAGAAACCAACCCTCCGCGGTTTCACCAGTGTTTCACCAGTGTTACCCTCACACGCAATTTTGAGAACAACAGGGGACCAATAGACACTACTGACGGTCGTTGGATAAGAATGAGGCCCACTTAAAGGAGTGAATGGCGAAATTTTTTTGTTACGGCAATGCACTCATTTCGGTTGTCTAGGTTAGGATTTCTCTGGTGGAAATGAACGCTTCCAATATTTTTCTAGCTCATTCTCATAGGCTAGGATTCTGCATTTAATATCGAAATCACTACCCTGATGTTCTTCTAGTCGATACCTCCAAAGTGGAATAGGGAGGCTTCCACGTCTTTGACCCGTATGCCTAACATCCTTCCCGTCTCACCAATATATATTCCGTCACGAATGAACACCGCACTAGGCATACTGTCCCTCGCTGTCCGCGACCTCCATCTTTTCCGAAAGGACAAGTAACACATTTACCCGGGTCCGACCTCAAAGTCCATTGCGGATAAGATAACGTTTGATATTGTCCGTTCTTAAGTTTATCAGGACAGTATCTTTAGCCAAATCGGTCGTGCAATGCGTTGTCGGATTTCTGCGTTGACTTTGTTCGATAAAAATGGAAGCCGGAGATGCATTCTTACCGTTTCTTAGCGGGCAACTTTGTGAGCCTCACCTTCCGTGTTGTGTTCCATAGCCGTTCGAGTTCGCTATCTCGCATGCTAGTTTACGTGACTCCTCTCACTCCTCCTCACCAGTTCAAACCCCCCAGTCGTTTTGTACATTTTACGAATCATTGCACGTTTCACAGCTTCAGGGTGAGCAGACATTCAGTGGAGTGAGATATTTCAATGCAGTGTTAAAAAGAACTTGGAAGCGTCTCACATCTACCAGAGAAATCCCGAGCTGAACAAACGAAATGAGTGCATTGCCGTGACAAGAAATTTTTTCCAGTCATCCCTTTCCGTGGGCTTTGAAATCACCGCCTAACTCCAATCCAACGAGCGTCAATGTTGTCTCATTGGTCCTGCTGGAGAAATAGCAGAAGGATGGTTTCCCTGACTTGGATCTTTTGGTGTTCGAGTTTCTGGGAGTTGGTGCAACTAACTCAGCGAGTTTGGGCGTTGGGTAAGCCACAGATCTAGAGCTCTGAACTGCTTCCAAGCTTTGGAGAGGCCTTGGGAATGGAACTTTCCAGAACGTCGTCCAGATAGAGAGGTTTATACTATAACGGCAAAGCAGAGTGTAACATCATGCAACAGTCAAATTTTTTTACTTCTCTTTATCGTTCAAATCATTCCCTGTACCATGGGTTTTAGTTTGATTTGGAACCCATGACGATCCATTGTTTCTAGGAAGCTTCTATTTTCAGAAACACGTCAAGTTGAAAGCAATATCGTTCGCATGAGGTGACGTTCTCTCGCAATGTATTAGTGACCGATACTGACCATCTGTGTTATATTGTCAGCAATCAGAGACTTCCGATTATGAATCATACCTGAATGATGATGTAATGATGTATACCTCCAGTTTTCATAATGATAAAAATTTTATCCAATCCATTGTGTTCGCTTCTCCTTGAAATTGCTACTGCTTGGGTTTGATGAGCGTTTTTCAAAACGCAACTCCTGAGTTTATCACAAGCGGCCCCGGTTATAAGTCCAACCATTTTCGAAATTTCGTGAATATAAAAAGGTGGCATCTTCTGTGCACAAAACGTTTACGACAGTCGCAACTCGGGAAAACGAAGTCTCAGTCAACAGCCACTAAACGTTCGGGTTTAAAGGCACCGTTCACGATAAAAAAGTTATTGAGTTCTTACCTTATTAATACTCAGCGGCCCCCATGGGTTGTAGAAGGGACCCTCTCACTATCCCAATCTCGACGTCCAGGGCATAGTGGCAGCCCCGTTGTTGCCGTCGTTCGCGTTTCCGCCTCTCGATCGGTGCCACGTTAAACGAGTGTCGAGACAATACAGATTGCTATTACCCTAAAATTCCATAGATAAGAGCGGTCCCTTAAAATCGCTACTCTTCTATATGAA